TATTATTATTATTATTATTAACAGTAATAGTAATAATAATAATAATCTGTATACCCCAGTTCTAAATAATCATTTTAAGACAATTTTCACTTCTATCCTAAAAGCTTCTAATGGATCTCTGTCCTAAAAGCTTCTAATTGACCCCAATCCTAAAACCTCCTAATTGACCTTATCCTAAAACCTCCTAATTGTCCTCAATCCTAAAACCTCCTAATTGTCCTCAATCCTAAAACCTCCTAATTGACCTCTATCCTAAAACCTCCTAATTGTCCTCAATCCTAAAACCTCCTAATTGACCTCAAAAACCTCCTAAAACCTCAATCCTAAAACCTCCTAATTGTCCTCAATCCCAAAACCTCCTAAATTGACCTATCCTAAAACCTCCTAATTGTCCTCAATTGACCTTCTAATTGACCTCATCCCAAAAGCTTGTAATTGACCTCATCCCAAAACCTCCTAATTGTCCTCAATCCGAAAACCTCCTAATTGACCTCATCCCAAAAAGCTTGTAATTGACTTCATCCTAAAAACCTCCCAATTGTCCTCAATCCGTAGACCTTCTAATTGACCTCTATCCTAAAACCCTCCCTAAAAACCTCCTAATGTCCTCAATCCGAAGACCTTCTAATTGACCTCTATCCTAAAAGCTTGTAATTGACCTCTATCCTAAAACCTCCTAATTGTCCTCAATCCGAAGACCTTCTAATTGACCTCTATCCTAAAAGCTTGTAATTGACTTCTATCCTAAAACCTCCTAATTGTCCTCAATCCGAAGACCTTCTAATTGACCTCTATCCTAAAAGCTTGTAATTGACCTCTATCCTAAAACCTCCTAATTGACCTCTATCCTAAAACCTCCTAATTGACCTCTATCCTAAAAGCTTGTAATTGACCTCTAGCCTAAAACCTCCTAATTGACCTCAATCTTAAAACCTCCTAATTGACCTCAATCCTAAAACCTCCTAATTGACCTCAATCTTAAAACCTCCTAATTGACCTCAATCCTAAAACCTCCTAATTGACCTCTATCCTAAAACCTTCTAATTGACCTCTATCCTAAAAGCTTGTAATTGACCTCAATCCTAAAAGCTTGTAATTGACCTCTATCCTAAAACTTTCTAATTGACCTCAATCCTAAAACCTTCTAATTGACCTCTATCCTAAAACCTTCCGTTTTTAATCATTACAGTGATTTTATTTTATATCCTCCAAGTCTTAGATCTTTCGGCATATGATGGTCCTATTTCAGCTTTTAATCCCTAGCACTTTCTTTACTTATGAGCTGTGTTCCAAGCAGTGCTGCAACTTTTGCACATTCCCAATGATACCATTTATCCCCAATGCGTTTTGCGAGGCAGAAAAATTCCTGAAAGTAGTCCTGAGGAGCCCCAACCACAAAATGGACAACTTGAGCTGCTAATTGGTGCAATTCTCTGATTTGCCCTGCCAGGCCTTAGCATCCCTTGGCATTTCCTTCTGCTTCGACTACAAGATATTATCACAAAGTATTGTAACGTCGATCAGGGTTCATTCATGACTGTTCTTGTGCACAAGCGTGATATCAGGGCGATTGCTCGCCAAGCGCTTGTTAGTCAAGATGGTCTTATCCTATATGTATTTTACTTGTCCATCCTCGGTTACTGACGATTGGTATGATCATTCAAGCTCGTACCAATTCTCTACACACACGAAGTCATACATCTTGCATATTATTATTATTATTATGGAATCTGCCGACCTTTCGAGCCTTAAAACTCATGATGATAGTTACGTATGCAAATTACTAACTCCCCCCCCCGTGGATGGCGGAATGAACAGATTGGCAACAGAAGATTTATACTAAGTTGTTTGATTAATTCCTCTTAGTAACTAATCAACTAACGAAAAATTCCAACATGAACAAGATCACCATCACATTAAGCACGTTTCCGTTTCGTGCCTTCATGCTGGCGGCGTTTCATTCATTTTGATGCGTTGATTACCTTTACAGCCATTTTTAATTGCAAGGCAAGGAACGGGTGTTTTTCAGTAGGGGCCCCATTTGTGTGAGATATTTTGGGGGTATCTAGGAGTCAATGGTGACTGGTAGATTCTTATAGTGAATGAATAAATTGTAACGAATGAATAGGTCGTGAATCTGATTAGCTAAAGTCCACCAGCCTTACAACTACATTTACTGTATTTAATCAGTATTAAATCGTAGACAAGCAACGTTTGTACAAAGACTTATATTTTTTTGTAGATTTATATATGTTTATACTTGAAAATGTTTTTTTAAATATGATGAATACAGACCTTCTGTCGAAATATTGTTTAACATTGTTTTTTTTTCCTTCTCTTAAATGGAGCGCTTCTCTTAACTGTTGAAAAATATTGGAAGAATTACGTCAATCATTTTGTTTATTATTATCATTGAGCAACAGAGCTGCAGGCCAACAAAATGGCGCTGGGATACATATATACAAAGTCCAATATACCCAGCACCCAACTGTATACCACGCACATACATCACAGCCAACTGGGCATAATATGGTGAAAAGTTTTGATACAGCACGCAAGTGGGTGTTTTGAGATAGCTTTAGGTCGGGTAACACCGTCTCCTCAAATACTCTTCTATTGGAAATATTCGCAAGTATCTTTGGCTGCCTCATCATTCAAATTCTGTAAATAGCTACAATACCTCATCTCAGAAATATAGACAGATTGTTATTTTTATTATAAAAGTATCACGGTACAGTTGGTGGGTTGATATCTTTAGTAATAGAGAGAATACTGTCTGTTAAAGTCACAACAAGGACCTCACACACACACACAGTGCTTTCCGAAGTAGTTGTACCTAATAAGGCATATTTTTGTAGCGTTTGCACCGATTTTACATCAAATTGATCGCCATATGCTTTAAACTTTATTCTTATAGCGCCAATTACTACCGGGATGACTTAATCATCTCCCGGAATTCTCAGTTCACAATGGTTGCTGATCTTTTCCGTTTGCTTTGCTGTTATAGTGCAGTGAACTGGTGTGGCTGCATCGATAGTTTTGTTGAGGACGACTATATCTGGTCTTCGGTGTTCAATACCGCGATCTGTTTGAAAGTCATATTCTCAATGCTACGTGATCACGCCATTTTTCGAACACTATTATTATTATTAGTACTTGTTCCAGGACTCAGACTAAGCACGACTAACCACAAAGACCCAAGCGATGGAACAAGCGGATGAGGATTAAAACAGATCTCAACGGTTGAGCCAGAGGATGAAAAGGACTACGCACTACGGATATGCTACAGAAGGCGCCACACAAAATTATAGTCAGCGGCAGTCCGTTTCATAACTGGATTATTCAAAGGAAGGTCGTGAAATCAAGTGTGTTGGTCACTTCCTGACAAGTTGAGGTCCATCTTAAACAAATTCGCTCAATCGGCACTTTCTTCCATCTAATTTTTTTTCACCAACTCTTGCAAAGCCAAACGGCGATAGGGAATGGATGGAGGGAGCAGGTTATAGTGAAGCATCTCATCCTGAACCTGCACGTTTGTAGCGAATTTAGTCATCAACGCCATCATCATAAAGGAAGCGACCAGCAAAGCA